TTATGTGCGATGCGGCTCCAAGGGTCTATCAACGTCCGGAAGGGAAGCAACACCAAAAGGCGTTTGTTCACTATTTCAGCGTATGCACCGACTAACTGCAGTTCTGACGCACGAGTTTTATGATAAACTCACCAAACTCATTCGGTTGAGCCGAAAATCCGACATAGTTGTCCTCGCAGATGCTTTTAACGCTCAAGTTGGAAAACTGAGCGCGTCGGAAGCTTGCCTAGGCGATCATCGGGCTCTGCCGTGCCAGCGAATAGATAGTGGCGATCGACTTATTCAGTTCTGTGCAGATCATCTGTTCCTATCTAGCACCAACTTCTGACACAGCTCTCAACGGACAGCAACGTGGCGCTCAAATCCAACTGGCACGCTAACTCAGATCGACAACATACCAGTAAGCTACCGTTGGCGTGGTTCAGTACAAAATTGCAGGTCCTATTGGACCAACTGCGTTGAATGTGATCATGTATTCGTTTTGATGCAGTCCACTCTCCAACTCACTGGCCGATATATATATATATATATATTCTGTTGATTTGTGTTAGGTGCCTTGATAAGCCGATGCAGACAGTGTTAGAAGCTATCGTCGACGGTACCCGGGCTACAGCCTGTGGAAGCATATATAGAAACTAAAAATGATCATCGTTCGTATGATTTTCATTGGTTAACCTCACATTAACCTCTGAGTGTCACTAGGCGTAGTTTGCTGCCTAACAACAGAGCAGTCGGAGAAAGATTTGTGTTTAAGAGAAATGGGCATAAGGGCAGTTTTACCGGCATTAGAGAGAACACGGACAGCCTCAAGCAGAAATAAAGCCCAGATCAGAACTTAGGGAGACACTGAGGGAGGAGCGGTCATCACTAATACTGGAATTGGCGAAGCGTGAAGAGCAATAGATTAAGAAAGAGTTTAGGGTCATCGGCAAAGGCATAAATATGATTTGAAGTTGAAGAAAGGTTATCAGTGAACATCGGAAAAAGGAAAGGAGAAAGTACAGAACCTTAGGGGACACCCGCATTCACAGGTACGGAACGAGATATGGTCTCAACTACTAGAACGGTGATGCGGCGGTTCTTTAGATCACTTGCTGTCCAGGACACAAGTTCCGAAGGAAAGCCAAAATTGGGTAGTTTAACCAGTAAACAAAAACGATCGAAAACTCGAAATCTTTTAAAAGACAACCATATGGGTTTCTCCGTTGTTGTCGAGTGCCCTTGACCATGTATGCAAAATGAGCGCCACAAGATTACCGGTAGATCTCTGGGACCGGAAACCGTACCGATGGCGCCGGAGTTGATCAGTAAGCATTGAGTTCATAACCTTCGGCATAACTGATGTGAGAGAGATGGAGCGGTAGTTATTTGGGTGAGTGGTCGCTGCATTTGGGGATGGGAAATATTTCTGATATATTTCATGGGGTTGGGAATACCGCGGAATAGAGGGATAGAAAGAACGAACAGCGTATGGGGGCGGTTCTGGAGCGAATATTTTGAGGACGATGGAAGGAATCCAGTCGGTCTGCGGTTGGTTTATCACGTTTCTAGGTGATTGACAACCTTCCAGTTCCTCTCAAGCGACAGTAGTAGAGACTTGCGCTGCTGTTAGACAGTGTTTAGATGAATACCTTTAGGGATTATGGACAAACGAGCACATATACTAGGCCCTATGACCCAGTGGTGATGAAGCTTACACAAGTATCCTGCTTTCTGCCCCAAAAACTGAAGACAGAAAGACCGTGGTGAGTCACTCACGAGGCAGGAATCCAGAATGATAACGCTGATTATTACCTAATACATGCTTAAACCGTTCTGGCAACACAACAACACCTATAGGTATCCCGGAAGTTCAGTTGCAGTTGCAGTTTTTACAACCATTAATCATGCACTTTTGTGCGCCGGTTTTGGTTGCCCATTTGGATGAAGAAAGTTGAAAGCAGAGTCGAACAGAAAAAGGAGAAGTTCAGTGGTCTAAGGTTGCAAAGAAATTCAGAACATGCAAGAAAGCCACTGTTTACGACATCCAGCCATCTCATTCAGTGTTTCTAACCATTGGGTACGATCTTCCCGAGGTCCCCAGCCAGGGAGCCTAACGAGACCTGTGTGACCCGTCCCCTGGTCAGGGTTTTCATACCCTCGAACCAGATCTTAGCTTAACCACCCTTGACCTTTTTCCAGCCGCTACCTGCTCGGCAAACATCGCTCGTCGTGGCAACCTATTTGGTGACATGCGTAACACATGCCCCAACCAAAGTAATCTATGGAGATCAACCACTTGCTCCAGTGGGCAACCGCGATTGCCTAAAACTATGCGCCCAACCTCAGCATTGCTCGTCCAGCTGCACATCACTGTGAATGTCTGTACAAAGCTACCGAATGCAAGATTTAAACAGTTCTTCACATCTGATGAGATCCAAAATCCTAATTGTGTATGATTAACAAGCGTGTCTGTCGCGTACAGTGGACTCTTTGGGAATTGATGTCTGCTGTGTATCGGAGACGCGAATCCAGGATACTAATACTATAAGTCACTTAAGTGCACCGAGGTTGTCTTCGAGGTTCTTCCTCTTCACGTCAGGTGATGACGAAGCCCGTTCAGTAGGCCAGCTTGGTGTGGGCATTGTACTCATTAATACAGCCGAAGCCGCAATACTCGATTGGATCCCCGTTAACAGTCGCTTATGTGCGATGCGGCTCCAAGGGTCTATCAACGTCCGGAAGGGAAGCAACACCAAAAGGCGTTTGTTCACTATTTCAGCGTATGCACCGATTAACTGCAGTTCTGACGCACGAGTTTTATGATAAACTCACCAAACTCATTCGGTTGAGCCGAAAATCCGACATAGTTGTCCTCGCAGATGCTTTTAACGCTCAAGTTGGAAAACTGAGCGCGTCGGAAGCTTGCCTAGGCGATCATCGGGCTCTGCCGTGCCAGCGAATAGATAGTGGCGATCGACTTATTCAGTTCTGTGCAGATCATCTGTTCCTATCTAGCACCAACTTCTGACACAGCTCTCAACGGACAGCAACGTGGCGCTCAAATCCAACTGGCACGCTAACTCAGATCGACAACATACCAGTAAGCTACCGTTGGCGTGGTTCAGTACAAAATTGCAGGTCCTATTGGACCAACTGCGTTGAATGTGATCATGTATTCGTTTTGATGCAGTCCACTCTCCAACTCACTGGCCGATATATATATATATATATATATATATTCTGTTGATTTGTGTTAGGTGCCTTGATAAGCCGATGCAGACAGTGTTAGAAGCTATCGTCGACGGTACCCGGGCTACAGCCTGTGGAAGCATATATAGAAACTAAAAATGATCATCGTTCGTATGATTTTCATTGGTTAACCTCACATTAACCTCTGAGTGTCACTAGGCGTAGTTTGCTGCCTAACAACAGAGCAGTCGGAGCCCTGGCGCTCAAGGTAACACCAGTGCATGAGTCAGGTCTGCTTGGTTTTCAATACACATTAGTGTTCTTACTCTGAAGGAAGCCTGTGTGAACGAGTGATGAGGTCAGAAGAAAAGGAACGATGGGCTTCGAGAAATAAAGAGCACGTAATATAGGGTGGAAAAGAACCGAAGACAAAAAGCAACTCACATTGTTGTTTGGTGGATTGAAGTCTTAAGTCAAGTTAAGACAAACAACGATGTGAACAATTGACCTGGCCCTAGAAGTTTATTCGGTGGACTACGGTGAATTTTAAGGAAAACCTGTCGTAGCAGTGAGCTTCCATGCTACCTGGTGCATGTCATGTACCTCTGTAAGTTGGATGGGTGATTCGGATGTCAAAATATCAGTGCTATCGGTGTAGCCTCGTAGCTCAGCTGGTAGAACGTGCGCTGTACAAAAGCGTAGGCGGCGTCCATGCGTGGGTTCCAACCCCACCGAGGCTACCGAACTTTTCAATATAAAAGAGCAACTCACCGAAACAAGCGTTCCGTCAAACAACAATTCCGTTGGTGGTTGATACAATTGGCGTAAATATCCCCGTTTATTGGGCAAACCATATCGTGCACCATTCGGCCGCGGTCCGGGGTTGGAAGGCTCATTACAATCTAGCACGACGTGCTCCTGTACAGAAACATGGGAACAGAAGAGTAAGTCACTGAGAGATCACAAAGCTCGAGGAAACGAGGAAGACGTATATTTTTTACACACGTCTGAGTTCAGACTCTATGACAAACAAATCACGGCACAGTAATCTTTACAAAGAGAACCTACGTGAAACGGAGATTTTGGCTTTATCAGTGCGATAGATTCTGATTGGTCAAGCTTAATAGTTAAATTCTGAGTGTTATCGCATGGGTGGTATAAAAAAGAGAGAAAGAGAAGAATACCTGGACACACAAGAAAAGGATTTTTCAAATGGTTGCCTGAGGTCGATGTGATACATTGTTTGTGCTTTAATCATGCGTCAGAATCTGCCGTTGATTGGATAGAAATTTGGATAGCTTCCTTGACTAACGTCCCACTGAAATCATTCCACATCGACTCTTGTGACTTTCACATTGTAATGCAACCATGACCAGTGCTATCGAAATGGGGCCTACCCCCGTTATCCCGATAGGAACATCTAAGAGAAGGATTGGTGACCCAATTCTGATAGTAGAGACTGAAACGAGTTAGTTGTACGGGTATGTATCGTTGTCTGTGGTCACAGTTCACTCGAATGGTTCTAACTGTCCGTCACAAAAACGTGCGCAGAACGCTTTCGATAAGCTGATTGATCTTTGGGCGTCCATTATCAGACACGCCGTACATCTTAGTTAACATGTAACCCACACATGGGTGGTAGTGGCGCAGTGGTTTAGTCGCTATCACCCTATGGTCCGAGGTTGGAGCCCCGCCACCGCCACCCGACTCTGGTGGTAGGCAGCTCTGCTGTCGTCCGGTTCAATACCACGCCTAATCTATCGGGGTCTTG